CAGGTTGAGGGGAGCAAAAAAGCCACCTGAAAGGTCCTGGCAGGGAGCCAGGAGTGTGCTGGTCACTGTGATATTGTGCCACTGGTTTGGGCTCGGGGTGTTTTTCGAATCAGGGCCCCAGATCTCTTTGTTCCCCCGCGGCCGACGCGGCTCTGAGGTCACTCCTCGCCTCGCACGCCCTTGGCTGTTTGTGAACGTCCTCACAAAAAATCTCAGAGCCCATTTCCCCGTTGAGGGAGAGGAGAAAACAGGTTGTGTCATTGTCCGGCCCGATTGTTCTCCCCGTAACTAATTGCAAGGAGAGGAACAGTTACGGGCTTGGAGCTTTATTGTTGTAAAAGCAACAATGAAAGGATGTGCACGGTACCAGCCAAACACCAGTGAGAAAAATCTGCTTTTCGTATTAAAACAGAATGAATGAGAGTGACCTCCATCTATCTGACAGGAAAATTGGTGAAAGGTTCACAGGGCACCCACCTGTAATGAGTGTTAAGGGGCCAGTTCTGCTGTTATGTCATCAGAACAGATGACTCTGGGTTTCTATGTGTGACAGAGGTCCCTGGTGACATCCCAAGCCTTCTGTGCTTTTGGCTTCAGGGTAGAGGAGCAGATTTTGGTGCCCTAAACTGCCATTTCCATAAAGCTGCAGGCAACATATCCTCCTGCCCTGGTCCTATGCCTTGTTGCCCCCAGCTGTGGCTGCATTTTCTTAGCTCAGAGAGAGCTCTGGGATCCTTCAGAATAAAAGGGATCATTATTGCAGCAGTTGGAAAAGTGTCAGCAGAAGGGATGAAATATTGTCCCATGCCCTTGCCATACTGAACAGGGAATCTTTTCTTCTGGTGTTAGTTTAGGACTTAATCCTGCAAGGTCTTGTCTGTCAGCAAATACAATCAGGTTTAAGAGCATGAATAACCATCCTGGAAATCACTGGAAACTATTTTGTTAGTATAAAATTAAGCGAGTGAGGAAGTTCTCCAGTGGACTTGGACCAGTGCACTCAGCACCCTGCAGGAACAAGCCTTTAGTTCTTAGAACCATTTATTGTGTCCAGAACAGCCATTCATTAGGGCTTTGTGCAGAGAGGTTGAATTTCACTCACTTGGAAGATATTCCCTCTAACCCCCCCGAGACACTCGGGCTCTGGTTGATTTGGAAAACAAAATGATTAATGGCATTTAACAAGTTTTTCCACTAAACAGATTTCACTTGAAGTCTGTCACAAGCTAAAGAATTTGCAGGAATAGTGTCAATCTGATGTCATAGTGGCCATAAATCCTATTGTACTGGATTACATTTTTACCCATTAAAATGCTCTGACCTATTGTCATCCAAGTGGAACCACATTCCACTGGCTGCTCAAAAGGTTCTGATTTCACTCCCGATTGTTGCCAGGGCAACTGCACCTCCATCCAAAACTCTGCTGCACCAATCACTTAACTCCAGTTGAACAGACTGGTGGAGATAAAGCAAAGCACTAATTACTTATTCCCATTGAAAAAGCCTAAATCAAATCTTTCTGAGACCTGACTAACAGAAGCTGTTCTGAGGGTTACTTGGGTTTTTTTCTTTGCATGAGGCACCAATTGCCTCATTTCTTCTCAGAATAAGTAGCTGTGGCAACAAAATACCGTGAAAAGATTAAAATTCTTAGTCTATCCAAAGCAAGAGTGCACTGGAAATCTCACCACAGGCCACTCCTGGAAAGAGTTCTCTCTCAGTTGTGGAAAACTAAAAGGATTTTCATTAATAGTCAAACAGCTGGTTAAGGCTTGTGAGTGGAAATAGAAATACTTGAATTTTCCCACTGAGATTTCTGGTGGAAAGTAGCCTGTGTTTTATGGCATCTCCTTTTATTAAGTGAACATCCTCTCCATTGTTCAGATCTGTCCCACTCTGAGCTCTCTGTGGAGGGGCCAAAGCCAGTGAGAAGATGTGCCCTGCTCTGAGAGGCACAAAATGAGGTGCCAATTTGAAAGCAGTTGGAGAGAAACCATTTTAAACAGAACTGGAGAGGCTTTCTGTTCGAAGTTGTCTCAGGAATGGAGATGTCTTTACTTACACATGTTAAAATTCCAGCCTGCTTTACTCTTCTGTCTTCATTTCACATCACTCAGTGAACCCCTGTCTTGGTTTTCCCTTGAGGTGCAGGAAAACTTGTGTGGAAAACGGCTGTTCACTGAAATTGCCCCTTTTCACTTTGTTTCCCAGACTTGATTTTTATCAAATGTCAATTCTTAGATTGTCTCAGGGAAGTACAGACCTGATCTCCCCTACCATGACAGCAAAGAGGAAACCCAAAATTCAATGGCTCCCTCAGCTGAATCTTTCCACAGGAAATTAAGGGCTGAAATGCTCTCCACTCTTCCAATTCTCCAACCCAATGTGTCACCACAAATAACATTTGAGTAGTTGAGGATTATTCTACCCTGTCTGCACTCTCGAAACAGGAATTTAACTGCTTTAAAAAGAGGAACCAGACAACAAAAATGAGCAGTTCCTTGTGAAACGCAGCACAGTGACTTCTTGAGTTACAGCATGTGCAGACAGGATGGACAACTAGTCTGCTTTTACACTAGATGAAAAGATAAAAAATCAAATCCCTCTCTTAACCCAATTTAAATAGCAAACAGAAGTCTGAGGTTGCATTTGTTTGTTTGGCTCCTTTGTATTTATCATATGGCTGTTAAATTGCACAACAGGTTCCTGGAAAGGGGTGTTCTGTTACCAAACTTTTCACCAAAAGCTTGTGGCGAGAATATTGGTGACTAATAAAAGAAGGAGGGCAAATCATCATCCAGTCTAGAGAATCTCAGGCACCAGAGAATACTGAGCAAGGTCAATTAGCAGAAACTTTCTGAGTGTGAAGTATTTCCCAACTGAACTTTCCCAGGGCTATTCAGAACCTCTTCTGGCAGAAGGGCTTCTCAGATATGATCAGAAATGATCAATACATCAGTCCCTGCTCTTGCTGCCTCCAGAGTGACAGAGAAGAGAAAAGAAGAGAAGAGAAGAGAAGAGAAGAGAAGAGAAGAGAAGAGAAGAGAAGAGAAGAGAAGAGAAGAGAAGAGAAGAGAAGAGAGAAGAGAAGAGAAGAGAAGAGAAGAGAAGAGAAGAGAAGAGAAGAGAAGAGAAGAGAAGAGAAGAGAAGAGAAGAGAAGACAAAAAGATGCAGAAGTGCTGCTGTGAGGTTAGTCATTGAAGTGTTTGCAGATCATGAAAGTTACAGGATTTTCCTCTTTTCCTTCCTTCAGTGACTGATTTCTGTTAGTGTAACCAGGAGTGGGAAGGTTTATCCCCACCAAAACTGGAGTACGCACTCTCCTCCTACTTTCACTTGGAAAAGCACTTCCCTTTGCACTCTGGTTCTAGCAGGAAAGCTCATAATAATACTACAAAACCCACTACTGTAAAAGAATTTCTTCTGTGTATTAAAAGCTCATAGTCTCACTCTGTATCACCACCCCCCTCAGGGGATGAGTCAGGGGTCATAAAGGAGCACCAGCTCGACGTTCCCAGAAGGCAACAGCACCAGAAGAAAGGAAAGTGATGGAACACCAGGACACTGCAAACTTTTTTATCTGGACAGACCCTCTCACAAGCCACCCCTCTCTACTCTGGATCCTCCCAGTCCTCTTCCCAGGCTCCCAGCTCTGTGCTGGTCACTGCCATGGGAGGAGAGCTTTGATCCAAAACTACGGCACAGGCACCAGTATTTGAGGAAGTTTGAGGATGCAGAAGCCAGGATTGTGTAACCAAACCCCTGGCAAACACATTCCAGCCCATTCAGGGAGCAACATGACAGCTGTATTGTCATTCCCTGCCATCTTGCAGCTTGTCCTGTCTGGCAGGTCGGTGTTAGCAGACAGGTGATCTTCAGCAGGCACACCTTGGCTGCAGGAGCGAAAACCCCCAATATTCGGCGTGGGAAGGAAATCCTGTCCACCACCCTGACTCCTCCCCGACCTTCTCAGAGCCTCAGCCGACTCAGAAAGGCATTAGAGAGTTTTCAGTGCAGCTTAAAATGTTTGCCCAGGATTTAGAAATACAGAAACAGGGGGATTTCTGAGGTGGATGAGCAGGATTCTTCCTCTCTCACCTTTATTTGCGGGTTTTCGTGGCGCACCAAGGGTCAGACTCTCTCAGCAGGCTCCTTGCACAGACATCTTTGTGCACATTCACACAGGTCCTCATGCAGACACTCAGATCTAACAAAACTGTGCCTATTCTTGTGGGTTTTAGGCCTTCTCTCCCAGGCCCTCTCTGCCACAAGGGTCCCAACAAACTGGCTGCTCAGACCGGGCTCCCAAGGCAAGCTCTGGGGCACGGTGGTTCTTCTGACTCACCCTCATTTCAGGCAGCCTTTCTCACAGTCTGCAACCCTTAATTTCCCTGGTGTGAGCTCAAAGTGCTGCTCTGCCCTCCTGACTCAAGAATTGGTGAGGGCAGGTTTGCTGCACCTTGGGCTTGGCACCTCCCCTGGCAATGACAAGTTGTTAAAACCCCCCCAGAAAGGCACGGAAAGGAGGGGAGGAACTGCCAGGCTGGGTCAGCCCCACAGTCTCTGTGGTCTCACCTCCCATCCCCACCAGTGGCTGACACCAAACCCTCCAGGAGAAGGTGTGAGAGCTGCAATTGGCAGCTTTGGAAGGAATTCCCTCCTCCAACAAGTTCTTCCCGTGATCTGCAGTAATTAGAGCCTTCAGCCCTGAAACCACACAGCTTAATATCCTCTCCAAACAAGCACCAAAGCTCTGCCTCTTTTTCTTATTCAAATGAACTGTCCCTCTGAATTTCAGACCCAGAGACTGTGTTTCCAAACAACAGCTAACAAGCTGCCAGGTTACAATGCAAAACACCCTTCCAGTGAAACAAGATAAGCAGTTTATTCCCACGCAGGTCGTTTAGTTAGTTCAAAGCTCTCTGAGGTAACAGAATTTCTGTTTACATGCACAGCCACAGAGAAAAGCGCAATTAAGGAAGTGAGAAATGGCATTTACCTCAATGTCTGCTGAGAGAGAATCTCTGCTTCACTCCCTCCTTTCTTTTCCTCTCTCTCTCCCTCTTCTCTTGCATGGCTGGACTGACAGGTTGGCAGAGCTGAGGAGGACAGGTTGGGTTTGTTTTTTTAGGCACAACTCCTCCCCCTCTCAAAGAGAAGGGAAAAAAAAAAAAAGGAAAAAAAAAAGCAAGACTGTTTGGGAAAAGTCACAGAAAATCCCATCCTTTCAGCACACCAGAACTGAGGTGAGAAATATGCTACTTTGGGGAGCCCAGCAGTTTTCCAACTGTTTTTCTCCAAAAGGCTCAAGGTCTAGTTTGCAAAAAGTATGAAGCAACTGAAGGATTGACACCAGGAACAAACTTGAACCTGAAGTTCTCCCAATTCCCTGATAACTGATCCACCAGCCCCCTTAAGGCAGCCTCGATAGGAGGATTTTTGCCCAAGTGGAAAGGGCTTTTTGCAGGCAGCACAAATATCTTTGGGCTTTGGGTTTTATCCCTGCATCCCATCACCACCGTGGGTGATCAAATCACCAGGAGACATCTGAAGTCCTCGTTTTCCCCCCAGAGCCCTCAGGTGCTGCCAACCTGCACTCCCAGCAGAGAGCAGGTGATTTTAAACTCCTGTTTTGCTCCATCCCCTGAGTTGGCTGCACAGAGAGCAGCTCAGCTTCCATCCCTGTCACCTGAGGTGTGAGAGGTTTTTAGCAGACCAGACTTGCCACAGGAGCAAGTTCAGAGTGCAAAGAGGTGGATGCAGCACAGGGCACACTGTCCACGTGTGCTTCCACCTGCACGGGTGTTCTGGCTCAAAACACATTCCTGGGAACTGCTCTGCTGCGAAGTGTTTTAACTGAGCCCTTCGGGGAGTGTCACACACAGACACAGAGATCTCCCCCTGGGCTTTTCAAAGAGGGTTTTCAGATTAGGGCCGGGACAAATGAACTTTCCCTGCTCCTAATTCTGTGCACGGCTGCTGCTCCTGCCTGTGCCCTCCTGGCTTTGCCTCGGGGCACTCATGGCACAAGGATTTGTTAATAAATGCCAAGAAAGAGGAGCCAAGAGGTTGGTGGCTGGTCCTGAAATAGCTTCTGCCCTCCCACTTCCCTGCAATAAACCAACAGAATTGACAGGCAAGTCTTTCATTCTCCACTGCTTTTCTTAAGCTGGCAGTTTGGGCACAGATCTACAATTTCCATGTTCTCTGCAGAGTTGCTGCCTCTCCCTCACCCGCTGTTTCAAGCAAACAAACACAAATATACAGTAGACTAATGACTGTCATCTGCATAAATTTGCATCCCAGACTCCTTGAATAGAATCCAATCTCCTCTGGGTCAGATTTGCAGCTGGGCTGTGACAATGAAGGTTCAGAGGCTTTGCTCACCTGCGCCACGGGGCTGGAGTTCCAGCCCTCCCTGTAACAGCTCCCCAAAGCTAAAAGTGTCCCAAAATTTGGGAAAAACAACACAAAACAAAACAAAACAACAAAAAACAGCCAGTTTAAATTAAAATTATAATGAGCTAGATAAGAGGTGAATTCAGCGGGTATCACACACAATCAGTATGACATCATATCCAAAAATGTCTAGTTCCACCTCTTGCAAGCTCAGCTTTATCTCCTGCACCAGGGGAGGGCCGTGTCCATCTATCCCTGATTGATGGACTGATTTCCATGCCCTGTCTCCTGCAGATTGCATTTGCTTTCTGCCTCTTTTATCGGGCAACTGTTCTCAATTGTGTTCAGCTCACTGCTTAAGATCTCCAGAGAGATAAGGTGAGATCTTTCCTGCCAGTGGAACAAGTCACCTGAATCCAGGCAAAACTGGCCAAGGCCAGCCCCGAAATTCAGTGGTAATGAATTATAGCTGCACCCCCACTGCCTGCCGAGGGGCTCTGAAGTGAGAAACTCTCCTTAAAGTTACAGACTTCAGGTTTCTGCCTTAATTTCTAATGCAGATGGGATGGGGATGAGAATGCAGAGCTTTAAGCACACACCAGTCTCAGCGTTCCCCTGTCAAAGGGAGATGTGCTGGCAGAGAGATCCAGCTGCAGTTTACTTTGGCACTGATTTATAAGAGTCTTCTCAGCCCTCCCTCCTCGGAATTATGAGGCTGGAGATCCACACTGGCAGAACCTTTAAGATCTTTTAGACTCAGAGGGGTTTATTCTCTTTATTGACTCGTCTTACCTGCCCAAGCACCAAAACAGCAACACCAAACCCATGCCCAGCACGATGCTCTTGCTCTACCTGTGGCACATTCCCCTGCAGTGTGCCAATCTCCAGCTTTAACTTCTTGCCCAGTGCCAGTCCAAGCCTGGAGCAGGACGTGTTTGGTGGCAGGGCTGTGTCTGACCCAGCAGATAAAGGTTCATCAAACCAAGAGCTGGCCCTCAGTTCTCAGCAAACACAGTTGCTACAAGAGCTTACGACCAGTCAATAAATGCACTTCAATTAAACACTCCAGTGAGGTCAGATTTCTTGTTTTTCCTGTTTAGCCAGCAAGTTTCAAGGCAGCCCAATAATGAACCCTCGGAGCAGAGCTCGTTACACCATCAGAAAGGTTGCAAAATTGCATACAACTCTGGTTTATTGTGCTCAGTCAGGTACACTCCCTAAAATTAAAAAAAAAAAAAGAAAAAGAAAAAAAGAAGAAAGAAAGAAGAAAACAAGAGGAAGGAATGTATCTCATAATGTAGGAACTTAGTGCAAAATGTCTTGATACTAATGACAAGGTTGCCATGGCTTTCAGTCAACTGATAAAGCTGAGATTTTCAGGTCACTCCAGTGTTTCCTATGGATTTGCAAGTGGATCTGTATGTTCTGACTCCCTGGCCTGCCTTGAAAACACCTCCCTCGATGCACCTGGGCAGGTCCAGCTGGGCAGATCCCACTCCCACTGGAGCCACCTCTGTATTGCAAAGGGAGAAAAGGAAACAAAACCCCACAGTTCAGTTCCAGCTGTCATCCTTTGGGAGTGTGGATCCCCCCAGGCCACCCTGCAGTGGCCACTGACCCTCATCCTCATCTCAAACCCAGCAGCCACGTGCTCAAGCCAGGCTGCCTTCTTTGCTGAGCCCGTTGATCTGAATTTCCACCCATGCAAAGTCCAAAGCGGTTTTTTTTTATTGCCTATAAACTGCAGGTGCTGAATGTTTGACAGGGCAGGGAGAAAGCCCTGCAGGGAAAAGAAGCAAAAAGGGGCAAGGTGTGGGATCTTCAGTGCTTACAGACCAGTGGTCCCATGAAAATCAACACCAAAATTCCTGGTGGGGGGCACAGGACAAACCCCGTGGATGTCACAGACCCTCTGAGAGGTCCCTCAGACTATTGGGAGCAACAGGAGGGCTCCAGTCCTTTTCCATGTGCTGTTGCACAGGGAGAATAGTTCAGTCTGGGGACTGAATAATTCACCAAGAAATCAGCTGGCCAGTGTGGAAATCATTTCAGCTGAACTGAGCCCTTAGGTATTGCATTAACTGGATCTCTGGGGAAGGATGTGGATTATTGCAGCTGAATAGAGCCCTTATTTATCAGATGGAAAAAGGTTAATGTCATTTCCTTTCCTCTCCTCCATGGTTTTTCTTACCACATCCCCATTTATGGACAGCATGAGGTGCAGACAGTGGAGGAACATGTGCTTGATTGTTTAAATGACCAGAGCTGTTACTTTATGCAGGGGGGGAAAGGGGGGTAAGAAATTAGGATTTCTACTGGTTTCCTGGGGAGAATTACAGGACTAGGAAACATAAAGCATTGAAGAAAGGAAATGGGTCGTGGAGCACCTGGTCTTTGATTTGACATCCAAGAGGACCTAACTGAAGGAGGGAATTTTTGCATTCCCATCTACTGTGTGTGCATAATGAGAACCAGGATCAAACTAATCTAATATTCTCATTTCATACTTTATAAAGCAAGAGTGCACCAAGAAAGGTCATTTTTTTTTTTACTCCTTAATGAAGTTTAAATACAGTTAAATTAAGTTCTGCTAATAAAGAGCCTATGCTTTTTTCTAATTTGCCTCTGGAGTCTCAAGAGCTGTTGACCTGAAGATAAATATCAGAGCAGTTCAGCCATCTATTATGCGCTTTGTTAATGATGTCAACAAGTTAATTCTAAAGCCAGTTAAGGAGCAAATTTCCATGCCAAGAAGACTAACAGCAGTGAAAGCTTGGATGAAGAGAAAAAAGCTCTTTTTGTGGGAAAAGACTCAAGACACCCCAGTATTTTCTAGCACAGTAAATCCTTAGGTAAGGGAGATCCTCCTCCTGTACTAACCAAGATGGGCCTAAACCAGTGTCTGTTGGCAGATACAAAGAGAAGGACAAGGACTTCTGACCATCTGGGAATTTAGGGATTCCAGGACCTGGCTCTCTGTGTCAGCCAAGAAAGAGGAGCATGGAATTTGTGTTGGGCTTCTGATCACAGCTCCTCGTTCCTCTCTGTGTTACAGGAACTCAGAGCACTCAACATCAGTGCCAGGCAGATTTCTCCTTGCCTTGCCATAAATTAAGGATGGTTTGGGGTCCTCACCACCCTCTTGTTCCCAGATCCATCAGCAGAACTTAACTTCATGCCAGGCCCTGTAAGGAAAGACCTGGATACACCTGCTGGTCTCTGCCTGCACAGAACTCCAAGATGTGAAGTTCCCTGGGGTCCATCTGCAATTCCTACCCCTGAATTCAATTCTGTGTTGGAGCAAACCTTGGACATGCACCTTTCCATGAACGAAACCCAGACTGAAGGGACAATGAGGGTCAGGACTTTTGTGCCTTTGCTGGGTGATCCTGAGGTCGCCTTTCAGGCTTTCCATCTGTGACCCGAGTCAGTGGCATTACCTTACCTTGCAAAGGTGTCTTGAGGACAGAAAATCAATATTTAGGGGCAGGGCAGCGGGGATGGCTAATTCCAGCTCTGAATTAAACGGGGAGAGAGATGCCCATTGACTTATGTGGGATTTAGAATGAGCCCTTATTCATTGACATTGGCCCCTGAACAGCCATCTGAGGATAGCAGGGACTAACTATTAATACTTGGGGGGGTTAAACAATCAGCATCTAAGTTATAATGGAGTAAATGAATGTATGTAGTCAAGGCAACCACATTGTGACTCCTGAGTTGGATTCATGGAGTATTTGCAGAGTATAAAAAGT